ATTTTGCGTAACGTTCGTATGGATTTACGTATAAATTGTCATATAATTATAAACTGCATGAATATAAATTTTATATTTATTACAATCTGAATAAATTGTTAAAAATTCGCTCTCACAACAAAATGATCAAAAATAGAAAAATTGTTGAACCTAATATACCCCCTACAGTGTACCCTATTTTTAAAAAACCAAACGTTTGACTGAAAACTTCTATAAGAATTAAACTAAACCATTTTATTCTAGGATTATCGTAATATGATCTCCATGGCATAAATGTGTTCAAAATTTACTTTGACTATCTTTTCTAAAAGAAAACAAAAAGTAATATTTGACGACATCGAAAAAAAGTGTTCTTTATATCGCACCCTTACATATTTTTATTAAAAATACACGTATGACACACAATATATGCTGGAAATAGAAACAACTCAAAATAGGGTTGGTAAAGATATCCGCTTTTAACGATTAAAGAAAGCCCATGGGGTTTCACGGACTATAGGACGGGGTAATGTGGTCAGCATCCCGCCTGGCCGATTTACTCTCGGAAAAAGATCTTGTTACTCATTGGACGGGAGACTGAGGGCGATCGTCAGAGGTATTAGAGTCAGACCAGTTAGGAAAAATGGGTGGTATAATGAACATTCCTAGAGGGCAGAATTAGGAATACTACAAGGAAGAAACATAACCGATTAAAGCATCACAATAATGGCAAGTAGCAACAAATATCTCTAATCTATTTAGGAATAAAATTAGACACAATATCACATGTTTTCATGATTGCAGAAATTCTTTCTTGATGCATATCTTTTTCGCTGTATTAATAACGGAAGATACCTCTTGCGAAATTTCGATCGTCGTTATTGACACTATAAACTGCTACTTTTTATATCATAGTTCTGACTGAAATAAAACAAAAGATCGTCTAAAAGAACGTTGTTCAACAACTTCCACTGCTTACTGACAGAATGCAATATGTAACAGGTGTCGGAATTAGGAATAACAAGGGCGATATTAGGCACAGTTCCCCTACATTTTATATGTAACTTTATTCTTTATATGTATATACTTGGTTTCTTTATTTCGCAATTTACATATATTTTTTGCAATATCTTAAAAAGCGCGGGCGAATCTTGGATTAAACTTCAATTAATAGTAATAAATTTAATTAATATTAACTTTATATATCTATATATGTATATATGTATGTACGTATATATTTGAAATTTATGATATTGGGAATAAGTATCTCTAACGTCATTATAGTATAATTACCTTTCATTAAAAGTTAAATAAAACAGGCTTCTTCAATATGTTTGCTTGCGTATGCTCGTTTAATTTCGCTTTTGCGTGGAACTTTGCATAGTAGAAATGTACCCTTAATTCAGCTTTTGTATGGAAATGCCGAGTTGCTGTTCCCGTTTATTTCTCTTGGAAAACTGGTGAGTACTGATGTTGCCGAGTATGCTCTTTGTTCCTTTGTCCGGTACTTTGAAGCCTTGTTCCGCTTTGACGCAATAATTATTCATGACCTAACCATTTGAAATCATCAACACTTATACCAACAAAAGCCACTTTCTATAATACTTTTTCGAGTGTTATACCCTCTCGGCTATCATCTTAATTTAAAACTTGCTTTTGGATTCAATAACGTGCTTATTAGAACATTAACACGCGTGAAATAAATTAATAAAGTAAAGAAAGAAAGATGAATGAGACACGAGCATTGTGTAAATATTATTTGTCTGCGGTTATTTTAAATATATATGTCTCGCAATTCTATAGCTCTCTCGGCCGTTCGTTGATGGTTGATGATCAAACGACGTAGCAGGAATCGTCGTTCAAAGAGAATGGCAAATAAAAGTTTTAATTCGTATTAAAATTTGTATTAAATTCTTTAATAAATATCTGATAAAAAATAAAATCTAAGATTTTTAATATTTTCCCGTACAATTTATTTTCATTATTTTTCCATTATTTTTTATTATCTCCCCGTACTTTCTTTCTTTCTCTCTTTTTCTTCCTCCATTTTCCAATGTTTTAATGTTTTATTATATATTATACTTTCTCCGTTTTCCCTTTTCTCTCTTTATCAGTCTTCTTCTACTTTCTTTTTTCCATTTTTTTCTTTTCTTTCTCTCATTTTCTTCGTTCCGTTTGTTTTATTAATATTCTTGAAAAAGGATGCTCATCTACGTATATGCGTATTATGTGTAGCTACCTATATATAGATGCGTCAATATTTTAAAAGACTGTACAGAAAATAATTGACGTGTCCATCTTGGAAATTTTACAGGACTGTACAAAACATTGTTAGGTCACCTACGTGGCAAAGTTCCGTTCATTACCATGCAAAAGGAGAAAAAGCTTCTTTGCTTTAATCAGTGCGGACGTGCACGTGTTCTAGAGTAACTCTTCAGGATCTTCAACGGAGATTTTTTGCAAAATCGGCATGTTTTAAAGAATATCTAGTATAACTATCGTCTGAAGCAGACGAATGAAAAAATATTGAAAATTTAAAAAATTATAGCGCGTATAATTATTTTCGTCTTTTTTAACAGACGTTTTTTAGTTATAATTTTTTAAATTTTCAATATTTTTTCATGCGTCTACTTCAGACGATAGCCACACTCAAGTAGATTAGGAATCCTTTTGCTTTTTTGTTTCAGATAACTACACGACGGCTGCACGCGTAGTCACCGTTTTTTCGCGGCGCTCCAAAAAAAATGGCTGGCACAGGCTTTAATAACAGATGTAAAATTTTGAAAAAATTTGTACGCACTCTTTGAAATACAGTAAAATATGTGGGAAAAAGTTGTTCATCGCGTGGCTTTGTCGTTTTCCCGCTTAAAAATCATTCATTTTTAGGCCTAGTCACACTAGGGAAGCCCCTTAATAAAAGCTTGAAAAAGTTGAAAATTATTAGGTAGATGACGACAGATAATGATATAGAGATTAGAGATAACGCGTTAAGTATAGATAATATATGATTTAATTTTAATATTAATCTGAAACTTTTAAAAAATAGAGATAGTTGCAGTTTCTGCTCCCTTTTGTTATTTTTGGGAATAATCTATTCTAGTCGAGAAGGCTGTGCACTATCGTGCACCATTTTACGTGTTAAGAAACACGTCTTCTGGATTACACGTAAAAAATATTGTCGTGCGTAGACACATTTGTTGCTTGACATTCTGTATACCATAAAGTTTCGGTAAAATAAAAATTAAAAAAAAATTCCTTCGATCTTTCGAAGCATCGCTTCTTATCTCTTGCTTGTTCTAATCTTTTATGTATCGGTCGTGTTGTCGTCGAATAAACTTGAAGATAGGATAGGAAGAGTTTTAACAGTTTCAGCGAAAGTCAGATATATGCATAGCGCCAGGTGCAGTACGCGTACTCACGCGAGATCACGTATCAAGAATATATTGATCTAGATAGCTACAGCTTTCCAAGTTCACACTCAAAGAGAAAATAAACAACAGGCTTGTAAGCTAAAACTTTAATTGAAATCGATATTTCCAAAATTTTTGTGAATTTCTATTATATTATATATATACATCTTATCTCCACGATTTGTGTTCACAGAGTATTTATTATTCTTACAATCATTATTAAATGAAGAATAAATCGAGAGCACAACTTGATCATCCTGATTGTTATTATCCGTCATTAGTAAAGTAATCTGCTCTCTTTTGTCATTTTTGGGAATAATCTATTGTCGTCTAGAAGGCACTATATATTGCACCATTAGATCAAATTATTTTAGTTTAGATACGTATAATTTAAATTATGCTTATAGTTAGATAAAATATTCAGACAGACAAAGCAAAAGTGTATACGTTGTTCTTTGAAATATATCTGTTTGACTTAAATTTTGCTTAAATAGATTATTATACACATATTAAATAGATATTAAAAAGATCACGTCCGCGAGATCAATAAAATTCCATCGTTTAAAATTTAAGGGATCAATCTCAAAAGAGCAAACTTTAGATCGCTTTCGCTTGATTGGTTGAAGCCAAAATCAAATTAAATTACCCTATCGCTTACTATACTAGCGAGAAACGTTTTCTCGTAACTTGGCAGTTTTTCAATTTGTTTTTAACGTTAGTGTATTAATCAAGCCACGGTCGCTATTTCTAGAATAGAATTAGAGATGGATATTTTGCTATTAAGGAGGTTCTACAGATAATGGATGTATCTAAAAATTGGAAAAAACTTTATGGACGTATAAATTAAGATGCGAAAAAAATGCTCGAAAAATTTTAGCATCGGTTACCGTGTAAAAATTTGCAAAAATGAATTTTGAAATCACAGTTTTTAACATAAGCTACATATGGCAGAGGGGCTCTTGGAGACAGGAAACGAGATATTAATTATATAAAGGCAACCTACCAGAGATTCAAAAAACGGAGCTCTTATAGATCTTAATCTAAGCTTTTCAGAAATATCGAGAAAAACAAGGGTTATCGCGTAAAATTTTGTGATATTGGCTATTGAAACAGGCCATATCACAGTTCACGTAGCGTGCTTCGAATAACAAGGGAGATTTGGCAATGTCGCAGCGACTGCACCCGCGTGAAAAGTGTACAGCCATGCAGTACAGCACCACAGTATGACAGCACCTCAAACTTAAGCACCTAACGTTTACGAGCGCTTACGGAGAAGTACTCGCTCTAGAATTATGTGAAATTGTGAAATAACCACGGTCATATGAGCAGAACTGTCAAGTTCGCGACGTTACCACATTTTCTTCCATTATAAGCCGCCAGAGTCAAAGGAGCACTTACACGATATTTTTAATTATTCCTCGCTTCGACTAATATGGATATGATATAAGCTCTAACGTCATCAAAATTCACGAAAATATTTTATGAATACTTAGAATCGATGAATTTGAAGATTTTCTCTTCATCTCTCAACTGACTAGAGAGTACCTGTAGAACCTCCTTAAATATGATTCGTTTTCCTGGCCGATTATAAACTTGATAAAAATGATAAACATTGTAAATAAAGCGCGTACTCACGAGTGTTGTCGTAAGGTATTCCGTTGAGCTCGTCGAAGCAGGGGATAGTAGCCAAGGTGCCGGAAACCGTTCGGGGCCAGCATAGTATGGTGTCCCAGCTTACTTCACATTCTTGCTGTTCCTGCTTCTGGTTTTCGCGTTCCTGATATTCACGTTCGATACACTTGAGCTGCTCGGCGCTGAGCGACTCGTTTAGTTCATTAATGTAGTTCAAAACATTCAACACATAATTGCCGCCGACCAGCGGCTTTGTGCCGTTCGTAGGGAACAAGGCCATGACCGATCACCCTCGTCGAACCCTCGTAGAGCGTTCGTCTTCTCACTGAGATATCTCGGATTCGAGAAGATCTATCTGAGTGTATCTAGAAAACGGAAAGAAAGACGTCCTCTAAAATTCTGTAATATTGTAGTACCTCAAAATGTTTTTATCGTGACAAAAATTTGCGCTTAAACAAAAAGTTTATACATCCATTTACACACGTATGTGTACAGTATCTATACTACTATTACTATAAAGAGACAGAGTTTGTCGGTTTGATTGTTTGTCCTCGATGATCTTGGAAACCAATGGACCGTATTTTTACCAAAAGTATATAATATGAAATAGGGGTAGAATTTCCCGGGGAGTGTCACTGTGTGTATAGTTTTTTGTTATCAATTTTCTGGAAACCGGTTTTTTTAATTTCTCTAAATTTTCGAGAAATAATTGACGGAATTTTAAAGACGTGTATATAAAACAGGGGTAGACGTACCTGGGGAATGCCATAAAATGTATAATTTTTCGTTATCGATCTTTTTGGAAACCGGTATCAGAAGTTTTTCGAATTTTTCGGGAAATACCGAATCTCAAAGACGTATAGATCAAACAGGGGAAGAATTTATATACACTTGATTATACGTATTTATTTATCAACAGGAGTGGTAAAGACTTTCTAATGTACAATCTTGCGATATTGATGGACCAATAAAAGCCAAGATACGATGAACGACACGTAACTATACGTGTATTTCAAAGATTAATATAAAAATTTTTATTTTATTTTATACATTTTCGGACTACTTTCTAGATTTCAAGAAATCGCGGTGTATACTCAATTGCGTGCGTCTGTGTGTGTGTGTGTGTGTGTGTGTATATATGTATATATATATATATAGAGCACGATAAATAGACGAAAATGAGTAGGATCCCAGACAGCACCATGTCCAAAATCGCTCGTTGACGTTCTCACAAGAAATTTTCGCACAAAACGCGCGTTTTCGTATGTTATCTGGGCGGTACTTGTCGCGTATAACGTCGTCAAGTCCAAGAAGAAGACTCAACAGATCTTTTTCTTACCAAGTTCATCGAGAGTTTAATATTGTTTAAACTGTTTTCCAGAGTATAATAGATGGACGACGGCAAAACTTTTCCACGAGTTGCTATAGAGTAAACCGTATACGTATACATAATTCTATATCTTAAATCTATTTATTTT